CGAGGCTGGGAGAACCCGCTGTGGCTGGACTCCAGGCTGGTCATGGAGCCCCTGTAGGCAGCACAGGGAGGGGGAGGTGTGAACACCCACCGCCGGCCACCCCGCCACACGCTGACTGTCTGGTCGTTCCTGCCCCCTGCTCCCCCAGCACTTACAAAGCCAGGGTGGCTGTGCTGGGACCCCAGGGGACACGGCCACCCCACCCCGCCCTTGCACACAGATGATGCCATGAACTGCCAATGACAGATGGCCCAAAGGCCACTCCTATCATCCCAGGACCTGCCGTACAAGCCTCCCCTCTTACCCTGTTGACCCCGTGGTGGCCCAGCCGTGCGAGGGGAGCCCGTACCTGAAATCCTCGGACCCGATCACCTCAGTGTAGTACATCACTTTACACTTGTGGGAAGACACCTGCAGGGAGGCCAGCACGTCGTCCACCCGGGGCAGGTTGGTGGCCGCACAGGCTGGCATGCTGTGGAACTTCCACTGCAGGATGTAGAAGCCCGGCCACCGCGTCACGTGTGAGCCCTGGAACGAGTCAGGCAGCGCCCGCTGAGGAGGGCTCCCTCCCTAGTTTCTCGCCCACAGCAGGGCTGGCACACGCCGGGCGCACTCGGGCCCAGCAGTGATGACTAACCATCTCAGGAAGGATCTGCTATGCTGGTTCATTACCAGGGTCAGCCCCACAGCCAGGTCTCTGCTGGTGCTGGGAAGGCCACGGGGAGTGACCCTCTGAGGCCGTCTGCCCCCAGGACTCAGTCTCTGGAGGAAGCGGCACCCACAAGGTAGGACCACCAGAGTGAGGTCAAAAAAGGTTGCCCGAACCAGGCAATGCTCTCTCTGACACGCTTCCAATGACCTCACCCACGTACCCTGGGTTAAAAGGATGTCGATCTGAAATAGAAAGCCAATCAGTGAAAATTACTGTCTCCCTTAATTCTGGAATGAAAGATCGTGATACAGCTAAAAATGTTCATTATTTTAAAAAATACTCTTTTTTACTCTGTTTCTAAGACCACCGAGACGCTGAGTTGCTTATCCCTGAAAACTGTAAAGGCGGCAAAATCCTGCATCTATTACGAAGGCCAGAAGCACCACGAACCATACCATCCGAGCTCCAGCACTCACAACAGCTCGCCACACAAGAGAGCCAACAGAGCATCTTAAAGACGTCAGAACGCTCAGTAACGACAGGTGACGGCTCCCTGAGTGCTCATCTCTCTCACTTCTCTTGGGGTGCTCGTCCCTCGAGGGGATGCTGCCGCCAGTCCAAGGCCAGCCTAGCAGGAGCCCTCTGAATCCCGGCTGTGCACGTGGACTAACGCCGCTTCCCACCTCCCAAGCTGCTTCTGTGGAGGTACTTCTAGAAAAGACCCCTGCCTTTAGAGACAAGCCCTGGACGCCGCCAAGGTCCAAGTTCTCCTAAGACTCGCTTGGCGACTTGAGTCACTCGCGCCAGGACTGAGAGGACACCCCAACTGCTCGTCCAGACAGCAGGCAGGGCAGGGAGGAGCAGGACTTCCTCCTCCAGACAAAGCCGCCCAGCTGCAGGGAGTCCCAGGCCAGCTCACCTGCACGCTCTCCCCCTCCTTGCAGATGAGGGGCGACTCCACCATGCTGTAGTCGCGGCCCAGCTGCCAGACTCTGTCTATGAGCTGCACGTTGTTCCCACCTGGGGACGTGATGCTGTGTGCCCCCAGGGAGTCCTTTTTGGGCGGCTGCGGCGACCTCTTGGAGTGGTAGATGTTAAAGACAATGTCTCCCTTGCACACGTCGAAATCCCAAGTGATCACCGAAGAGGCGTCCACTATCTGAATGAGAATCTGGAACAAGAGGTTGCGTCAACCAACTGAGGTGACCACGAGCCTCTGCGCCACCGTGGTGGCAGCAGTGCCCCCCCCCATAGCTTTTCCACCCTGGCGGGTGCAAATCACAACAGCGGGCAGCCTCACCCGACTCCGCAACAAGCCCGTCTCCCGCTCACGCGTTCTTTAGACCGATGGCTCCTGCCCCATGTCCCGGGCAAGCTCTGCACTGCCAGCTACACTATGGCCCAAGAGCCCCCCCCCCACGACCTCTGGACAGCACCCTGCAATCCCGGGTCCTGGCTGTAAGCGACGTCTTGATACAAAACAGAAATAATGCAGGACAGGACAGAAGTGGCTCCGTGGGGTGCTCTGGGCTGGAGGCACAGGGAAGGTCCCGGAACAGAGAGCCCGGGCGGGACGGGAAGGAAGTGCTCAGGCAGGGGAGGGCATGTGCACAGGGGGTCACTAAGGGCCAGGGCCACGGGGCCGGGTGGGAAGAGGGAGCCGCGCAGCACGGGGGTGGGGCGGGCCTGCGGGGCGAGTGCCAATCTAAAGGCTGAATTTTATACTCTGCCCATATGCTTTCCCAGCAGGGAATGATCAGAGTTATAGTTTCAAAAGATTACAGGGGGAGGGATGTGAGAATTAAAACCAGCTGCGAACAGTTACGTATTCACCGAAATACTTCAGCAGCAGCCAGGCCCGTGCCCCACCCGCCCAGAGGCCTGCCTGCCGCGCCCCACGTGACATCCGAGCACCTGCTTCTCGTCTGCAGGCCCTTCCCTGGCTGCCAGGCCACTCCTCACAATTAACGGACCAGCACAGACTCTCCTGACAGAGCAGATTGCATACAGCACGAGGGCCGCGTGCAAGCCCAGCAGTGGCACTAATGACACCCACATGGCTCCGCAGGGCGGAGCTCCCCCGAGACGTCGGCCCCTCGGCTGACAGGCACCCCCGTCCTGCGCTCACAGCGGGGACATGGAGTTCAGTCTTCACCTTGATCCGTGCTTTACTTAAGCCCCGAGCAGAACTGGAGAGCTCACTGTTTTGACGGGGAAGCATTTTCACAGACACCCTGTGACTCACAAGCACAGATCACACCACTCAGCCCTCTACCCTGGACGAGAGGTCACCTAGGAAAAGACAAGAACTCAGCCCCCTTGAGCCTGCCGGCCTCCAAATTAGAAATTAATACAAACCACCCTCAAGACAGTTGTCGGGCCTGCAGACTGCGTGACTGAGGCACATCCAACCTGTCTCTGCTTGTTCAAACCGCCGCACCCAGTCCACTGCCCACGAGTGCCGGCCGCCATGCGGGAGCCACTCCGGCCGGGAGGACGGAGGAGGTGGCACGGCTCCACTCCTGGCGCCACCATCGGCCGAGCGCCACTCCGTGCCAGGCGCTGCCACCCCAACAACCCAGAGTCCAGGAAATGGCCCCACGGCAAACCCGCGCGTGTGAGGACGCAAGGACACTCCTGCTTCTGCACTGCCACGTGACAGCCAGGAGAGAGGATGGAGACAGGCTGGTGCTCCTCACTCGGCCAGACTTACAGAAACGGGCAAAGTCCTTAGGAATAATAAATAACCAACGCTGGGCAAGAAAAAACAGGAAGTGGAATTGGTCCTATCCATCACTGACTAAGTCAAATTCAGGAGTCACAAATCTTCCCACGAGGGAGCCCGGAGACGCATCCCGTGTGCGAAGGAGCTCGGCTAAACCGGACGCTGAGACACCCAAGCTCCGCTGCGGCCGCATCTGTTCTGAGATGCCCGCCCCTCAGCATCAACGTCCACCTAAACTGAAGACCGAGGGTCAGCAAAAACCTACAAAGGCCAGAAAAGGTATCTGATTCTTCTAAGCTAAACCCAGAGGCACCGCACTGAAGAAAGGCCGGCAGAGAGGGACCACCTGCGGATGCGCCCGGCGCCGTACCTCGTGTGGGGCCCCTTTGAAGACGCTGGCGGACTGGTAGATGGTTTCGGTCCAGAGCTTGAGGTCTTCGTTCTCCAGCTCCTCTGCTGTCCTGTACAGAGATTTGGGCACCAGGCCCCCCTCCGGGACTTCACACTGGGACGGAAAGGCAGTGGTGAGAGTTGTGCATACACGCCCCAGCCCCCCACCCCAACCCCCTCAACAGCTCGGAGCCGCTCAGGAAACGGAAAACAGAGGCAGTGTCATAAAATCCGCTGTACTGCTTAGCAAAGTCATTGTTAAAAACCAGTTAAGTACATGTGTCTTGCTTTGAATGAGAACAAGTTGAAGCAGATTTGGCACAGAATCCACACCAAAGGCACGTGGGACTGGGCCCAATTACTCAAGCTGGTTTACATAAGAATTACAAGACTTTATGCCGCGCTGAAAAGGGGCAACAACAGGTTAGGAAAAGAGTTTTGTTCTCGGCAGCTACAGGCGTTATTTTTATTATATGCGATTATAATCAAGACATATGATCCATGAAGAAGGCTTTGTACCTAACCCAGGTCAGATGATCGGTCCATAACGCCAGCCAAAAAATAAAACAGGGTAGCGTCTTTTAAATTTGCTTCAAACAGGCTGATTTAGAATTTGTACATCTCATAAATCTCCTAACTGGCCTTGATATAATGACTTAAGACACAGGTTCATAAAATTCAAGCATTTTCCCCATTATCAGCCCTGGGCAGCGACCACACGGGAAAGAAACAGCTGTCCCCAGGTGGCAGTGCCCCGTGACCGTGACAAGTCACAGCTGTGAGGTCACAGCAGAAGACCCCAGACTGACATGAGGTTAGAGCCCGGCCAGGTGCAGGCAGGCAGGACTGAACGCCGCCTCTTCCACGCCAGCCCCAACAGTAGCACACAAGAGCTGAGCAGCCTTAAAGGCCAGACGGTGGAGACCTCAGCCACCTCAGGGACTCTTGTTGTCGTGAACACAGCGTAGGGTCAGCATGAGAGTCAAGTCTCCTGCTCCAGCCCAGATGCTACCTCACGGCTGGAAGGGGCAGCCGCTGCTCTCTCAGAAGACGGAAGTCGCCTGCGGGTTTCTCCAGACCTGACCTCATGCTTCACTCTCCCGAGCGCTGGGTGACGCAGGGTCCTCGGACTCATTGCTCCTTTGTGCTGCACTGTGATGCCACCTGCCATTCCTTAGAGCAGGACTGAAGGCCTGAGAGCTGCTGGTCACATCCCTCCAGGAATCCAGGAAGATTCCCGAGCCCGACCGTTAGCTACCACCAGGAGTCAAGTCCAGGCGGACACACCTCCGCATGTCAGAGGCTGACTCTCTTTATACGAAGGACGACAGAAATCCCTCCTCTGAGGACCACCACCACCCCTTGCCGGCTGCACATCAGCAAAGGACGTGGGCCCCTTGGGTCTTCTCCACCCTCCCGTGGGGCAGTGGTGCCCCGAGTCTTCTCTGACGCCCTCGTCAAGCACAGGGGACAGACGTGGAGGAAGCTGCCTGATAACCTAGCAACTCAATGCCCTTAAAACCTCAAATTACATGAAGTTCCCTTAATGATCCCCTTTAAAATGTTACCCTGATTTATTGTCAAGAAAGAACCAATTTGATTTTTTAACAATGTTTTTCAAAAAGGCATGGCTCCTCTAAAACAGGTTTTAAAATCTGATGCACCCAAAGCTCAGTGAATAAAGCAAGCTGCAATTACACGGATTCTAAAACAAGTTCTCATTATTTAAACACGAAGAATGTGCATGTTATCAACAACCACCTAAATGATTGTTTAGTTTAACCCTACAGCAGAGAGATGCCAGCCAAAAACCAAAAACTAAAAGCCAAGTCCTGAAAATCATCTGTGCGAACCAACGCCCCCCGTTCCGACCCCTGTAAGCCGCCGAACCCGCAGCTACCCGCAGAGGCACGTACCATGCACTCCCCACTCAGGAAGTCCGGAATGATCTCTCTGTCGATGTAGTCCAGCAGGCCCCCTGGGCCCTGGTAGTCATTTCCTGCATAAATAAGGAACTTCCTTCTGGTATTGTCATCAATGAACGGACTAACCTATGAATAATTAGAAAAGAACACATAGTCATTTTTGCTTTGCTTTGTATTTCAAAAACTAAAATTACTGTGATATTATGGAGGCGGTAGGAGCAGGGGAAAGGAAATTCAGGTTTGATGCATTTTTCCTGTGAAGCCATGTGTGTGACATGAGGACCTTCAGGGTCTTTTTCCCTAAGACACTTAGCTTTCCATGCTGATTTTGCTTTCTCTTAACTAGCTAAGACTTCAGGTCACAGACACATGAACACAGACACACACATGTCTGCCTTCCAGGACTGGCCCCCGGTTACTGCCAGCGGTGCGGAAACCTACCAGCGTCCAGAGGACAGGAAACACCCTGGGGGCCCGCAGGATGAGGAGGCGGCCCAGGGTCTCCGGGTAGTTGGCCTCCACCACCTCGATGATGCGCAGCAGGGCCTTCACGCCCGGCCGCCACAGGTGCCGCATGTTCAGCCCCTCCAGGTCCACCAGGCAGGTCCACGAGCTGCAGGTGCAGGCGAGCTGGGTTTAATGCCCGGCACACTCGGCAAACCGCGGCCCGTGGCGGCTTGCTTTTCTTTTCGGTATTATATACAGTCATTTGTATCCATTTCCAAAACGACACCAGGTTTTAAAATTACAGTGTAATGGACTCTCCTTGTAACTGCTTGTATCAAGCACATGGGGTGGGTGTGGGAAGACCAGCCCCTGAGATATCAAAGCCCCCAGGAGCTGACAGACAGTCAAAGCCTCAGTCTGACGCGCTCAGAGGCCCCGCCCGGGAGGCCGCGAGCCGGCCCTGTGCCGAGCCCTCCACCACCCGACGGGGCGGGTGGGCATTCAGATGCGCAGCGGGACTGACCTGCAGGGACCTACTCCTCTCTAAGGGCTCACTGGGTCAAGCACTATCTCAGGAGCCCAGGACACAGCAGAGAACAGAAGCGCCCAAACCCCTGCCCTCGTGGGACTTACACGCTAGTCAGCCCTTCTCAAGGCCAACCTCCGAACCCCGCACACTCGCAGAACAGTTTACCATAACCAGAAGTCTGGTTTAAGAGCACAGAGTAGGCTCTTGAAATAGCCTCCCCGCCACCAAAAAAGAAAAAAGGGAAAAAAAGGAGGAAAAAACCCCACCACCTGCCACCCTGGGCTCCCAAACACCATGCAGACTGCAGACAGGCCAGCCACCCGGCTGAGGTGACGCGGCGCTCACAGGCAGGAACGCCAAAGGCCAGCCACTGCCCCTCACCAGCTGACTACTTCACATGTTTTACATTTTAATCTATTTTCTAACTTTCAAAACACTATGGAAAACAGTAAACCATTTAGATTTGGTCCTAAAAAGGAAACCCAATTTTGGTTCTAAACTCAACCAGGAAGATGGAACGCATTTTGTCACTAAGCCAGAGGACACGCGGCATCGCAGGCACCTGATAGGCCGGCCGAAGACTTTGGTGTTTTCCTCACACCGCCTCAGCCCCTCTTCGTTTATGGAGAGAACCTACGTGTAAAAGGGCCACAAAAATTCCACGATCAGTCTAGGAAGGCAACACGGCTGCTGCCCTCCAGCTACAAGGGGACAGACACAGTGCATTTTAGGAGGCACGTAAACCAAAAAGTCATCTATTTAAATTCCGACATATTTATATGCACAAAACACATCACGGGCAAAGAATCTCTCACGCTCAAAAGGGAACGAGCGCGGGGAGGGCTACACTGGGGTTTGGACTTAGCAGATACAAACGACTATATATAAAACAGATACACAGCAAGGTCCTCCTGCACAGCACAGGGAACTGTACTCAGTATCTTATCATAACCTATAATGAAAAAGACCCCTGCCACTGGATGTCTCAGGGGACCGGCAGGGGAGGAGAGGGTGGGAGGCAGGGAGCGAGCCAGTGTGAGGGTTGAGGGAGGGGACGATGTGGAACCAGGTCCCCGCAGCCCCCTGACTATGCCAACCATGCCTCCCCACGGTGAAAAGCATCTGTGTAACTTTCATGCCCTCTTTTGAAGTTTTTAAAATATATGAATAGGTCTTCCCTTCTAATTATAAAAGCAATGCATGCTGTTCCAGCAGGACAGCTGTCGTATCCCACTCCTGCTGGCAGGGACAGAAAGAGAAGCCACCGCAGAGCCTGGGGGTGTCCGCAGGGAGCACTCACGTATCTCAGCAGGGCCTCCTCCCCGAGGGCTCGCACCAAGCCTTTGGTGTCCATCTGCCCCAGCCTGAGCACGTAGAGGGGCCGCCCGTCTGCAGAGGGAAGGAGGGGCAGCGTTAGCACCGTTTGTGACACGAGGCTGGGGCACAGCTCAAAGAAGCCTGACGCCCACACTCCAGATGAGCTCAGCTCTTCCCTGCTCTGCGAAGCAGCAGCTACCTTCTGTGGTGTATATAAGAGCCTCTCCTTCCTCCCCTCCAACATCGTAAAAGAGAAAAACAAAAGCCAACTGATGGAGCAGCTTATAAGCCGGGTCCCAGAGACAGCTCGGCCTGGGGCGGGGGCCCAGCAGGGCTCAGCCTCTGTCCAGCTCAGACCACCTGCGCTGACCATGGCCATCGCTGGGCCCAGCCTCCTACTTGACCAGGGGCTGAGCTGAGCTCTGACGTCCAACAGCAGGGGGACCTCAAATACTCACACTTTTCCGTGAATACAGAGGACATCTAAAATTTTATTTCTTAGGGGAAAAAAATTTTTTTTCATTTCATAAGTTACCAAAAAGTTAATGTTAGGGTTTTTAAAAAGCCTAATTAATTCCTACCCTAAGGACTGAGATAAATGAGGACACGTTGGTTCTACCTCCTAAGAGCCTGGAGGTCTGATGGGCGGAGCCTGAGGGGACCCCAGCTCGTTCCATAAACTCCCCGTCATCCCGCGGCACAGCGACGAGGAGGGAAAGGCCTCGGAGGCCCGAGTGCACCCTAGACCCCTGCCACTGGGTGTCTCGGGAGCAGCAGGAAGCACGGGGCTGGACTGCACTCCTGGGAAGCAGCTAAGGCCTGTCTTCTGTTGGGAACCAAGGGCGGTGCTGTCGCCCTGACTCAGGCCTCAAATCTCCCCTGTATCTGTCACCTGGTGAGCCTCGCCTCCATAACCCGGGCTTGGACCTGTTCCACTTACAGCAAAAGGGTCTCATGCTCCCAAATCATGCTGAAAGGAAGATTTATAAAAAGTCTCTTCCAACATTTAATAAGGCACATTTGTTTATGTGTCACTACCAAACTTTAATGTTTTGAGGGTCGGAAAGCAGAATAAATACATGTTTCTAGTAAAAATTAATGAGGCTATAATTAACCTGGAGAAACACAGCAGACGACACCAGGAAACAGGTCAGAGCTACTCAGTCTGCAAGAGCCTGCTGGGGTGGAGGAGGGCCCTGCAGGGACCACACGCCGCCCACCGCCAGGCTGCCGCCGCGGCTGGCCAGTGAGGCCGAATCACGCGCCTCACCAAGCATTTCAGGTATCGCTGTCCTTGGTTTGCGTTTTGCTCGCTCCCCAGGCAGAGCTGAAGTTCTCCACTTTTTTGATGTGGAAAACCTGGCTACATGTTTTCACAGACACTGTAGGGGTTAAGTCAGTGGAAAGTACCTTTACACGTTCTGTGCTCCTGCAAAAACTGTGCCTTCAAAGGTTTTTAAGTAAGTCAGGCAAACCCCAGTAAGTAAGGGACGCAGTGCAGCAAGCTGCCAGGGGCAGCGAGCGGTGAGACGACGCGGTCTCGGGCGCCTCGCAGGCGGCGCGGTGAAACGGCGTCCCCGGGCAAGCTGGGAGAGGGGAGGGACCACGCGCTCACGGCCCGCTCAGTTCAGTGGAAGGAGGTCTGTGAGCATGTCCTGAGCTACACGTGCACAGATACCTTTGTCGTGATGGTGCCAGCCCCCCGCGTAGTAGTCCTGAAGGACCTGGGGAGGGTTCCAGGTGTCGAGGATGTAGTCCACCTGGTGCTGCTTCCGCCAAGTCAACGACTGGCACATGGTCTCTCTGGCTTTGTCGATGTTGAAGTCCCGGGCGCGTAAGAACCGGAGAATGTGCTCATCTTTTGGGATCTGTGAGGAGAAAGAGATGCTTCTAAGCAATGTTCAAGCTGCTAAGGGAAAACACTGAGTCACCAAGGGAGCAAGACTCTAAAACTCTCACTTCTCATCAAGAGTGAGCTGCATTATTGCACTATTTAAAATTAGTCACTGCCAGAAAAATCTTCCTTAACGCTTTAAGTCTGAATAACCTTTATACCGTTCCCAATGCAGATTCAGTGAAGCAGAGTGAAGGCATAAGTCATTTCTTAAACACCAGATGCTAATCTGTGAATTATTACGATCTGTGCACTTTCTATATATATTTCAGTTGAACAAAAATTTAGAATACAAAAAGGTGCTGCTGCTTTTGATGACGGTGGCAATGTCCGGACACAGGGACCTTCGCTGCCGCTACTGGCCGTCAAGGGTCGGCTTCCCTGAGTAAGAAACAAGGCCAAGAGCGTGTCTGCTCCTCACGTGGCCCAGCGGTCTTCCTCCTCGGCCACATGCTCACGGATGCAGGCTACCGGGGCGCAGGAGATGACAAGGGTGCAGGCGGCACCGACTACCCACCCCGCTCCTGGGACAGCAACTCCAAGCACAAGATGGTGGTAGGTTCACTCAGAAAGGACCACGGTCATGTGGAAGGGTAGGGAATGTCGGTTCTGGAACCCAATGGCCCGGCTCCAAACCTGGGCCCGCCAGGGATGTAAGACCTTCTAAGATGCAGGAACGTCTCTGAGCCTCGGTTTCCCCGTGTGCACAACAGGGCGATAAAAGCCTCACCCACCTCCCACACTGCTGGGAGGATTTCCTAAAGATCTTTAAACAGGGCCTGGTGCCACAGACGGCAGCCGCTGACCCAGTGGCTGTGCCCTCAACAGCTGATGCTAAACGGTCCCAGGCTCTGGGCACAATGACAAGACTGACAGGAGAGAGAGCAGGCCAGCCGCACGCAACCCCTCGCCTCCCACGACTGGGAACGCTGGTCACTAGACACACAGGCCTGCCTCTGCTCCGTACCGTTCCCCGTCAGTCTGAGGATTATAAAAATCTAACTCCTCATGAGGGTATTTACCAAAACCTCATCAAAGCCCAAACATTTCTAATCTCTGCATAATCGGTGAACTGCTTCCAAACCTTCTGAAAATGAAAATGTGTGAGTACCTGGAATATAACATTGCTCTGTCACTTGACATCTAATTGTTTTTAAGTGGGACCACTCTCTGTAACATCTAGAAAAATACAGCTACTTATACACAGAAGGGCCTCCTGACTTGCCACAGAGGCTCGGCTGCCCGCACAAAGGGGCAGGCTCAGTGCCCTCGAGATGGGAGGACATCCCCAGCTACGGTGGGAGGGGACATTCACTCTGAGGAACTGCGGACAGGCCCGGGCCGGGGCCTCGCAGCAGCCCTCCGCACGCGCTGTGGCTTCTCACCTTGCCCTTGTGGGTCTCCTGCAGCCACTGGCGGAGCCGGATCAGGCAGCTCTCCTGCAGCGGAGTCAGGTCACCCAGGTACCTCTTGATGTAGTCTGCGTCTAGCTTGTCTGGAATGCAAACCAGGTGACACTGTTTACCACAAAGAACACTGGAGCTTGAGGCTTCCAAAGTCCCCCTAACTCGGTGACGCTCACGTGTGACCTGGAGTCTGAGGGGTGAGGGAAACTGCAGGGAGGCAGCCGCCTGGGAGAAGCCAGACGGGTCTTTAAATCCAGTCAGTGACCGAGCCACAGGTAAACATGTGGACCCCATCACGCCCGATTCCCAGCAGGCCACCTCTATTTGCAAAATGGCACTCTATTCATGGTAAAATGATGGCTATTACAGATACTTAATGATGTTTAATTCGAAGTCCTATAAAGAGGACGTACATCGTATAAAACTAAGATTTCAAATTAACTTTAGCAAAGAAAAATTCACAAAGTGAAAAATAAAACATATTCCCAAACCAGGTAAAATACCTGCCACCTGTTGAAAGCTAACCAACGGCACAGCTGAGCTACAAAGAACGTACGGGAAGAAAAATGCCCATGACCCACCAAAACGTCTGCGTGGCATAATTTTCTTATTTAATAGCGAGCATTAACTGAGAGATAAAACAGGTGTGTGTGTGTGTGTGTGTGTGTGTGTAACACACAACAGAGGCAGCACAGCTCTGTGGAGCCTACCACCTACTACTAGCTGTGTGGCTCCATGCGAGTTACTTGGCTTCTCTGAGCCTGGGTTAACTCGTAGATAAAATGAGGACATGAAGCACTTCCTACCTCAAAGGACCTATTATTAAATGGGCAAATATTCATAAAGTGCTTAGAACAGTGCCTGGCCCCTAGGAAGCATAAAGTGTGTTTGGCGACGATACAACTGTGTCAAAAGGTTAGTTCCTGCCTTACATTCACTAGAGACCTTCAACTAAAACAAAAACCATTTCCTGGCCTCAATAAAAGAATAACTTGATATAACCCATCCTGTCCTTTAAAAAAAAAACTTTTTAAGTGTCTTCATCCTAACAAAAACATAACGTGAGCGTGTCACACAAGCAGAGGAAGGGGGACAGTAACAGGGTCAGTCTTTCCCCCGGGGAACAGCTATGCCGCCAGAGGGGCCACGACCCGAGGTAACCCCTGAGGCCTGCTCGCAGAATGAAGCCTCCTTCAGACCCACCGTCGGGGGTTCCCACCGCGGGCTCGGGGGCCCCGCCCGGGTTGCTGAGGGGCTCGCTGCCCAGCCCCTCCCTCAGCGCAGGGTCCGGGACAGCGAGAGCCAAGGCCGCCGCCTGCTTCTTGCAGGATGAGGACGTCTCTGAAGAGGGCGCCATGGCAGGCGGGGTCCAGCGGGGCACAAACGTTATGCCTTCCTCTTCTAACTGGCGAAGGTAGTACTCAATTATTTCTTTTCCCTTTAAAGCAAAACCAGTTTCAAGGTCAGCATATACCAAGCATTCAAAGTATTCATCCCTCATTGGTTTTTAAAAACTGTAATCAAAACTGAGTCGCTACAGAATAAATAGGAGGGGAAAAAAGCCAAATGTCTTTTTGTTTTTCAGAAATATTTTACTGTCTCTTCTCTAAAGGTCTGGGAAATAATATCTAAGATGGAATTTTTTACATAACCGGTTAAAAGCCCCGATTTCCCACACCTGTACTCAGTATGTGTTTGCTTCAATCCACCTGCTTCCCAACACCACTTAAAACAAGCCTGCAGAAAGCACTCCTAACCCCGCACCACACGTTTCATCCCCGAAATTCCAAAACGAGCAGCAGCATAAAAACGAGAAGGCAGGCTCTTCCAGGGCAGAGGAGCCCAACCCGCCGGGGCCTGGGACCCCCGAGAGACCACCGGGCAGTGTCTCTTCAGCACAGCAGTGCCTCCCCTCCCCCTGGCACCAGGGCTGTTGGAAGCAGCTGCCCCCCTCCCTTCAACTTTCACCTTCCCGGGACCCCAAGCAGGCAGTGCCAGGGCCAGGGGCTGCACGCGCCCCCTCTTCCCTTCCTTAGCAACCAGCAACATCGTCTGAGGCCCGTCTGTCCTCCCAGTCCCCGGGACCCCTGCCTAACCCAGTCCTGGCCTCCTGAAAAGACTGCCAGCTTGGATCATCTCAGACACGCACGCTTACTCTTTGCCAAAAGATCCCAAAACAGACTCACTTTTTTAATGTTGCTGGTATATTGTTTCATCGCAATTTTTTCCACTGTGCTTTCAAAACCAAAGAAAGATTTAATATCTAAACTTGCAGACTGTTCAAAGCAGGTCCAATCTTCGTTTTCAGGGTGAACCTGCAGGTAAGAGAGGAAGTGTTCCAGAAACTACACTAACAACTGAGAATCCCATCTGCCCCTCAGCTGGTACCCAGGAAGAACACTTGCTAACAATGTTATTATCATGAAAATTACACAGAGAGGTGCAAAATCTTGAAAAGGCTCAATAATGTTTCTAAAATATTCTAAAAATTACTACTGAAAGGAGAGCTTCATTTTCATTCTTGGTTCACTCATTCTCCATGTTTGTCGAGCAGTGTCCTCCACCCTGAACAAAACAAAGACCCTGCCTTGTGAAGCCTACAGTCTAGCAGGAGGAGACAGACAGCTGGCTAAAAGCAGAACAGGTAAGATATTACATCGCTGTTGGAATGCAAGCGCTACGGAAAACAGGAAAGTTGGTGCAGGGCTATTAAAAGGATGCAGAATTAAAGCAGGTGCTCAGGGCTGGCTTCATCGAGAAGGAGAGATCTGAGCAAAGCCTCAAGGAGGCAAGGACGGGAGTCAAGCAGAGACCCAGGGGCAGAGGGAGCACCTGGAGCAAGTTCCTTCGGGAAGCACTCCTACGTGATGAGTGACAGAGAGACAGGGGGCAGGCCTGTGCCCAGGCAGGACGGCGGAGGTGAGGCTCGGGGGAAACGCAGGGCCTCGGGAGCCACTGTAAGGCCTCCGGCTTTTCCTCTGAGGGAAATGCAGACTGCAGGGTTGTGAGCCCAGCATGTGTAACATGATCTGACACACTTTAAATGGATCACTTTGGATCTGGCATTGAGGATATACTGTAGGACAGTAAGGGGAAAGCAGAGAGACCTATTAGGGACGAGAAGTTTCTGAAATGGGTTGGCAGGCGGTGAAGACAGAGGCTAGAGACTCAGCTCCACTCCTGGAGGGGCACAGCACCTCAGGCCGGCCCTTTGCTGCATCTCTCAGATGTCAGAGTGGGGTCAGGACAGAGTGGGGCCCACGCGACACTCACGCTGTAGCAGCAGTGCTCACGGATGACGACGCGGCTAGAGAACGTCTCATTGTGGGCCTCGATGTGCAGGGTGCGCTCCCGAGAATTCAGTGAGTTTTTCTGGATAAAATAAACATAATCAACTCCTGCAATCTTTAAGACAGAAACAGAAAGAAAAAGGGTTAATGAGTAACATCCAACTGCAGCAGATGCTCTAAGCACAAGCTCTTCTTGGTGTCCGGGGACCGCCCCATGAGGCGCCCTCTCCGCTACCTTTTTCAGCAGTCTGGGCGCGTCGATGTCCAGCTTGCAGCGCCTTTCTATCACGTGAATGGCCCCATCTTCGCTCCTGAATTCATTCACAGTGTCACTGTCCACAAACATTGGAATCAAAGGACACGTGGGGAACCTCCTTTCATAGGCCTATGAGTAAATTTTTTAAGAGAGGAATTGAACAAAGATGCAACCAGACAGTTTGTCATCAATAGTCTCCCTGGAATAAAATCGTCCCTTGATACAGGTCAACGTGTGACATCACAGCTATCTTTGTCTTTAAACCTTAAGCTCTCATGGAAAAACAACAAGACATCCAATGATCAGGGACTGGAAGACTCGACATAGTAAAGATGTCAACTCTCCCCACATGGATATAAAGGCTTAACACAATCCCTAGCAAAATCCCAGCAAGACTTTTTTCTGTAGTTTATAGACCTTGTCTATACATGTATTTTAAAATGTACATGTAAAGGCAAAAGAATGAAAATAGTTAAAACAATTTTGAAAAAGGAGACTAAACTGGGAGGCACCCCTCTACTTGGCACTAAGGTTTTCCATACGCCTTAAGTAATCCAGACCGAGCGGCACTGGTCACAGAGCAGAGCGCCACAAACTAACCCACACAGACATGCCTGGCTGACTTTTTAACAAAGCTGCAAAAGCAATTTAATGGAGGAAGGATGGCCTTTTCATGAATAATCACACATCCAGAGGCCAAAAAATGTGGACCTCCGTTTAACCCCAAACCTTATATAAAAATTATCTTAAAATAGATCATGGACTTAAACATTTTGGTTACATTCTTGAAATGACAAAATCATAGAACTAGAGAAAAGACTAATAATGATTGTCAGGGGTGAGGAAAGAGGTGGGTGTGGGAGGCGGGTGGGTGCGACTGTAACAGCAAGAGGGGGACACTTGGGAGATGCTCCGTGTCTTGCCTGCGTCACGTCAATACCCTGGTTGTGATGAAGGATGACACTGTCCCTAGACGTTGCCACCGGAGGAAATGGGTGAAGAGCAGCCAGGATCTCTCCATAATACTCCTTGTGAAAGTGTACCATTTATATATATGAATCTATCTTACCTCGAAATGAAAACTTAATTTTAAAAAAGGAAGAAAACAACTTGCTATAAAATTCATACAAACTTTTAGAAAATGTACTCAGTAACCAGATTTAGTTTGCTCTGTAGCAATCTGTGAAGACGCCTGTAAAGATACTGCTGAATTCACACTAAAACCTAAGCCATCCAGCGGCTCCCAGATGTGTGTGAACAGGAAACCACGGGACAGGGGCTGAAGGGGACACATGAGAAGGGAAGCCCAGAGCCCGCCCCAGCACTGCTGCCCAGGGGGTGGGACCACGAGCTGACGTCCTGTTAGACTGCCGACCGCTCTCCTATCAGGCTGCAGTAAAAAAGGGGGTGGGGAGGACCGCAACCTCCTATCTTAAATTAATGACAACCAAGCACAGATTTGAGCAAAAAATTTATGGTGTTGAAAAGATGAATGGAAACGTGAAAATGGCGCAGAGTGCTCCGATTTCACCTCTGACAAGGCGCAGGAGCACCATCACACTAGAAAAAGTCGGCCTTCGTGGGGAAGTTCCCTGACGTCCCCCTGAACAGCTCTGACCATCTGAATGTAAGTAACACTCACATCACCAGAGCTGTCACGGAAGACCCCAGAAAGCACCAGAGCCACCTAGCCATTCCTCCCCCGGCATTTTCACTGCCACTCTGCTCCGGTGACCCTCAGTTCCCAAGTCCGTACCCCATCTTCTCTCATAACATCGTAAAGTTACCCCAACCTGAAAAGCGTGCTGCACTCCTGCCATTCATACATTTATAAGGTACCAGCGGGCGACGTGGAGGGCGGGGAGGATGATGCAGGTGGTTCAGGACAAGGTGTCAGGGGAATACACAAGTGCCCTACGAAGAAGCAAGCGCTGTGAGGCCTCAAGGAGAGAACACGCTCAGCTTGGCGGGATGAGGTTTGGGAGGCTGCCAAGGAGAGGAGGCATGCACACTGGGCCTCCGAGCTGGGAAGGCCTGTTCGCAGGCAGCGATAAGCGGAGAGCATTTCAGGGAAAGAGGACCAGGAGTGAGACTTCGAGGAAGCCTCAGGGCACGGGCAGGGACCCGCAGCCGGCAGGCGAGGGAAAGGGTGGCCTACAATGACACTGTGGCCAGGCACGTCCCTACCAAGCACCATCACGTGGCTAGGCCCCGGGGCACAGGGTGGCTGAGACCAACAGAAGGCCCTGCCCTCCTGGAGCTGACCTCCCCGACGGGGCTGTGGGGAAGGAGGGAACTCCACCGCGTGACCAGAGTCACCTTTTAGGAGAATTCACAAGAATCACGCACGGGATGGTCTGGGAGGGAGGCAGGACCCACATGGTGACCAACTGCATTTGCTTTTTAAATGCTTTTCCTTTGGGAGTTGAAAATACATCCTCCAAGCTTACCTACGCCCTTCCTCCACTCAAACACATTCTGAATCCCATAACCACAATAATGAGATTACAAACCACACGCTATTTTTCTCAGTGCATGTTATAATAACATTTATGAAGTTTATTCAACTGCTGAGATCATACCACAGTAAGTCTCAATGAGGCCCTAAAATCTGTCAGTATTGAGCGCTGCACACATGAACAATTCTAGAAAAAAGCTGCTTCATTTGTTCAGCACACGGACACTAAACTGACTTTTAAACTTTACTACATTAAAAAAAAAAACCAACTGTGTCTGTGGGGTGGGTACCTACCTTCACTTTAACCACTCTCACCTTGTTCCCCCGTGTACATCTCTCTAAATAAGTCTACTTTTACTCATACAAAAAAAAATAGGCTTTGTACATTCCAGCACTAAGATATACAAGGATACAAGGGCTTCAAACAAAACGAGTCTTTTTAAGTTACATAAAGGGTAGAGTGAGCGCTCAGCAAGAAACAACCCACACTAGGATCTCTCCTATTTAAGCACCTATTAGATCACTTTAAAAAAATACCCACAACATCCTTTAAATTCTCAAAACAGCGTGGTCAGCAGAAGGCATTACCCACACAGGCTAGCCTTGAATTCAAAACACAGTGAAAACTTTCCATTCCCTGTAAAATCATCCATTCATGTAGGCTCATACTTGCAGGGACATTCGCTTTCACCGCAGCATGACCCGGCCAGGTGGCATTTAAGGCATCCAGGCTAACGAGCCACTAACGCAGGGGACTGGCGCGTTCCTCCCGAAGCTGCGTCAGCGTGGAAAGTGATCAGTAACCACCTACCTTCCCCTCCACCCAGCACCCGAACACCACATACAGGTGACACTCAGCCGCAGGCAGAGACCAAGTGCTATTTTTTCCTCTCTCTCTTTTTTTGAGAATTATGTTTTTTTCTTTTTTTAATTTTATTTTTTATTGAAGTGTAGCTGATTTACAATGTTAGTTTCACCTACTTCTCTTCGATTATACAGGAGAATGAGGACCTTACTCAAAGCCTACAGCAAAGTCCCTCCTCAACAGACATTTTTTGAACTGTGGAGTAAAAGCTTACTAAACAAACCAGTGAATCCAGCCTTCTGCTTCTGTGCTCACTTACCTTGGCCTACGCGTCAGAGATCTGTGAGGTTAATGAATTCTGCCTCTGTTCACAGAGAAAACCCTAACTGTCCAGAGGGCTACGTCTGTCTAAGGAATACTGCAAGAAGCTGACAAAACTTTAGTCTCTGAAATTGCCTAGGATACCAGTACCCTGGTTTTTCAGCATGAACTATAACCCATAAAGTTTATGAAGCCTCTGAAAAACAGAAGCATTCCAATTTTACTCAAAACATCAATATATGCTCCAGCTCCACCCACAGGAAGGGCCAAGAGGCAACACCACCTCAGCAGCCATGAGCACACTGGCCTCCAGCTCTTGTTTTCTAACTACCACTCCCTGCTAGACAGGAAGCTGTGCTCCTCAGAGAGGTGGCTGATTGCACGTCTGCAGCGAGGAAAGATCAGGGTGCGTCTGAGGCATTTCTTACCAGAAATCAAGGAACTGTTCAATGACTGGTGGGGAGGTGTCAAAACGACACAGGAACCAGCCTGAAGGGGTTCCACTTGCCAATTCTGGATAATTTCAGCACAGAAAGAAAAAAGGCGGTAAAGCATTATAAACCACACAGTGATACTCAAGAAAAATGGGCGGAGGAGGAAATTTTACAGGAAAAGATCACCTAATAATCACAAGGGGGAATGACAGAATTAGAAAAATCGCCATTGTGTAACCATCAATTTATAGTAACTGATTCGGACACCAATCATCAATGGACGCTACTGAAGGGTGGTTATTAGAAAAGACACCACAGTCTCAAATTGTCTTCCTGCTGATTATAGTCACAAAGGGACAACGGTAACTTTACAATGGAAAGATCTAGTAAACATCACCTTAGCCAAACAGTTGAACTCAGGACCGACAACGGGATGATCTGACAACCTGATGCAGTGCAATGAGAGCACAGGCAGGCTGGGGAGGGTACAGCTCGGGGCAGAGCGCAGGCCTGGCACGCATGAGTTCCCGGGTTCCCTCCCCAGCACCTCCATTAAATAAATAAACCTAATTGCTGCCCCCCCTAAAGAAAACAAGAAAAAAAAGAAAGAAAAAAGGAAGCACACACAGCCCAGACAGTCCTCATGACAAAACCAGCGCACCTAAGGCTAATCACGAGGAACAATCAGACAAGCCCAACCTCATGAAAATGCACCCAGACGTTAGGTCTGCCCGAGCCCCAGCCCAGGCAGCCGGCCGCGCGAGCGGTCCTGCAGTGCCTGCTCCTTCTCGGGGGCCTCCCGCCCCTGGCCAGCTCAGGTCAGCTCAGAGACCGAGATGCAGGCCCAGCGAGCTCAAGCCTCCGGTTTTCAGACAAGCCAGCAACTTGGATTTTATGCAGCTTCCCTATTTTTAAAACGCCAAAGAGCCCACACTGGGGGCCTTCAATTGTGTCCTGCACTAAGAACTCTCTGGAGCAGAGACATGAGGAAGACCCATTTCCACGTCTACCAGGCCCAGGCACGGCATCAGAAGGGCAGGCGTCATTCTCAAAGCTCTTCTTTTCTGCAAACTGTCTGCAGGGCTGTCAAGTCGTTCCCTGATCACACTCA